TAATTCAATAGTCACCATATTGTCACGAAATCCCATTGGGTGTCATGCCTCACCAATCAAAACCATCGCAGTTCTGAAGGTTAACCTAAAAGCGGAGGAGCTTTCATTCTCTCTTCGGTCGAGAAAGACCTTCGCGAACAATCACACAAATAATTCGAAATCGAATCAAAGAATACCCCATAATAAGAAACTTATTTATCGACATCCTTGCATGGATTATTTCCCTTTTTCTTTTTCTATTCATGGTCTAATGCCTCTCGTTTCAAGAAAGCCCGCGGTCATACACACTTGCTACACGGATACACGATAATAGCATGCATGCGTATTCAAACAATGCAGCCTTACGATAAATCCAATTTAGCAGGACGATCGAAAATCGGAATCCCTTCGTAGGAATGAATGAAATAAGCACTGTAAAGGGAGACATAGGGGAATAAAATCATGATAAGGATAAAATATAAATGGGAAATATTAATCAAAACAAATAAAATAAAATTACTCCAATTAAATTTCCTCTATCAAATAAGAATAAATTGTTTAACCAATGCGTAGTCCGTCGGTGTATTTAGGTCAAATTTCACAAATAAATAACGGGTTCGAGTGTTACATACACTATAGATATGCATTAATGGCAGTTGTGACGGATTAATAAGCGTGACTTGAATGACAAGAAGACTTTGTGAAAATTTGTCCTTTTTCCTTTGCCGTTGGTAGTTAGTCATGAGACCCTCTTATTCGTCCCAAATCCGGAAAAACTTCGTCAGAGAAACACGAAACCTCTGAATTCTTGCATTCAATTATGATACGTAGATATCTTGTGTTATTATTATTCTCCTTTCTCGTTGACTGTGGACTTCCATATATGCTAATGAGTGTGAGACTTTTTTTTTTTTAAGAATGAACCTAAATTTGAGGAATAAGTAGCAGACGTGTACCAAACACGAACTCGGATCGCCTAGGTCACATTCTTGTGACATGAGAACGTCAATCAAAGGGTTTTCGTTCTGGATCCTTTTTTTTTTTTCCCTTTGTTGATTGCAATGACAAAGGGTCACGTAAATAATAATAGCAACACCCGTTATCCTTCGGATCACTAATCAGAGGGAAGAAAAAAAAAAAAAAATAAATAAAAAATCTTTTTTACCCTTTGCAGCACAAAATAAAAGAATGATCCAAATTCATCTGTTTGTATCCATCTCCTTTCTCAAATCGAAATGGTGTTTACAGGGCAAGCATTGAACGCTTGTTCATCAATCAGATGATTTCAAGTCAAGTCTTTTTCTAGTTAATTTGTTGAAACAATACGTGTGTATGTCATCAAAATAACGTAACACACTCCAATTATAATATCATATATTTTTCCAATGACGGATTTCGTACAAATGCATGAATGCGTTCCACCCTTCGCCAACAATCTACGCGTTCTTTCCCGCTTGTGGAAAAACAGCGTAAACAGTTACAGTCATAGGGATCGTCTTGGTGTGCGAATCCATTCGGCGTGCCAAATGGATTCCATGCGGATGTGCGAGTACAAATAAAAAAAAGTAAAGGTTTATGCTAGGTACAAATGATGTAAAGGTGAACATCGCGATTTAGGTTCTTAACCATTTTCTTATCAGAAGATTCTGAAGGGGTTGGAGATGATAATGGTGGCAACAACAACAACAATAATAATAAAAGCAACAATAATAAATGGCAATAGGGATAACGCCATTAAAAATAATAACAAAAATAAAAAGGTTATCTTTCATCTGTTGCTTGTTTACTTAATTCCTCCTAATTTGCCAGGTGTATGTATGCGGGCTAGGCGACGGAAGGGAGATGCCCTCTGGACAAATATTTTGGTGCTCACAATGGTCAATCCCAGTGACCAAAAAGGTACAATTATTTCTGAAACCGTACACGATCTTTTCGTGTAAAACCCACAATTATCCCGGGGACTGCGTCAATTCACCAAATGTCGGGGTTCGATGCAACATGATCTTTGTAATTATTAATTTTTCAGTTAACTAATCGTGGAGTTCGGGAGTTGTTTACTTGATGTCAACGTTTGCGCTAATTTACGGCACCCCTCACAAATATTATATCGAAGTGTTTACCGCCACCCAATTAATCATGCCGCATTCATTCTCATGTATAACCCACGTCAAACCATTACGTGTATCTGCACCATTCTGGAATCGACTTCGTGTTCCTCAGATACCATTTACGGGTCCTACGTTAGTACTCAGTAGTTCGCTATTTCCTTATTGCAACATGAGTCCCCCTTCTGCTTCTACCTCTCGACACAAATAAATCATGCCTCAACACGATTTCGGTAGGCACACATGCTCGTGCGTCATGTTTTTTTCCATTCGGGAATTCTTTTCCGGTTGGATTTTCCGCGAGCGTCATATAACCCAGACTTGCGGCATCTCCGTATTCAAATTGATATTATAAGGATTTCATGCGAATCGCCGAGGAGCATCAATCTTAGGTAATTTTCGGATCAGACGCCTCTTTATTATCGTTTGTACCACTGATTCCTAAGGTTTTTAGGAAGCATGGTGCACAGAATAGATTATGCGTCTTTTGCATGGAGGTATGCCAATTAACGACCACCACCACCACCACCATTACTACTACTACTACTACTAATATTACAAAAAAAAAAAAAAATTTTTTTTTTTTTAATTTACCAATGATTGAAGATTCGAGTGGAAGTCCGGGTTATCTTTCGCGAGAGGAAGTTTCCATTTTATGGGTTACGTCGTGTCCTCCGTCTTACACGTGCATGCACGTGCGTAATAATCAAGCGTGTTGTGTGATGGCTAATGAGAAATTGGAATTATAAATTATAATTCACAAATATTTACCGCATCTTCAGCTAATCAACCTGTAGCCGTCGTAATGGCCGTTAAAACTTGTTGTGCACGATGACCAAGAAAATTTAGATATTATCGCGTATGTGACCAGATGAAGATGCGCAATGTTATTATTATTATTATTATTATTATTATTATTAATTGTCGAAGATGGATTTTTCATATGGCCTTGTGTCGGCTAAATACTGTATCAAATGCCGACCGTATGTTGGGATGACGTAAGCAAATATTTGCCCACAATCTTCAATGATTGGATAAGTTCGGCGTGGCGGATGGGAGGTGTTAATAATGGCAGTCGATTGCTAACCATTTGGTCTACATGCAAATTCAACCCTTTGATCTTTAACTACCAATATTGAATTCACGAGATCAAACGTTTATCCGAGAGGTTTCCCGTCATTCTCGCTCACCCTCGCCGTGCACCGTGGAGTGTGTGTTTTCACGGAGCCGGGTTTTCCTCCCGCTCTGACGGATGCGTGCGTCGTGAACGTCGCTTATGCAGAAATATAAATAAAACGAAGTCGCTGACACCATGAATAAACATCGATATCAAATGCAACAAGACACGGATTACGATATTATTAGATGTTGCAGTTGATCAACACAGCCGGCTCTTAGATATGGTGGCAAGGTTCAATGCTGAGACCAAATTTGTATACCGATAATCAACCGATTCTCACGGCGCATATACATACACGCATACGGTATATGGTTTTTTGATAAGATTCTATCACCCATTTTTGCACACTTTATTTCGCTATGAATGATGATGATGACAAGGAGTTGATGGATCAATATTTATGCACAACATTTTGTATCACCCCAGACCACTTGGTGGCTGGAGAGTGACGGAAGTCGTGCATCAAGGGGATTTTATTTTATTCTACCCTATCGAGTGTAACACAATTCAACAAATAATAAAGAATGATGTTTAAACTAAGTTAAAATAGAAAACACGTATGCGTGTGCGCTATCTATCACCATTTAATAATTATAATACTTAATTGCAGTGTTTGTGATAACCATTGTCGTTAATCATCATTTCCATAATGGATTTAAAAGGAAACCCATTGGTCGAAAAACCTCAATACTAAATTTAGGTGTTAGGGAACTAGATTTTGAGAATCGCATTATTACTATAAGTTTTTTTTTTTAACGGGTTTTATTTTTATTTGAAACACACCATATATAATTGAAAGGGAGTTCATACAAAGGTGATCAAAGGGTAACGAGGATTTTAGGAATTCTGTGTTGCATTTGGTGTTCTTTATTACGAAAAAGCCAAACAGCATCATGCGGGTTCTTGCCTGTAACACGTACGTATTTAAAATTTGATGAGCTGCCGGCGGAAAACAAAAGAGAGAAAAAAAAAGAGAAAAGTAGGGAAACTTGTTTCGAAACCTTTCCTTAAAACGCGCTTGCCTAATCGAACATGGTATCACAAGAACTGCACAAGTGACGAGTGACGAAAGCCCCTAGGACATGGTCACGGTCTAAAAAAAAAAAACAAATAAATAACAATAATTTACTTTAGAACTCCGGGAAATCATTTCCGTTTTTTCTAATTACTTAAATTTATGCACGAATGGCGATGATGAGTAGGTGCATTAAGGGGTGTTGCGCGGTAAGAAAACGATCCTTTAGTCTGGCCACGAAGATGGATAGGCAACTAAAAAGAGCTTTCGCGTTTCCTCTACATTCTCCTGTCTCACTCCCCGCCCACCCCATAATAATTAATGCAGCGTGTCCCTTGTTAAGAATCGCGTGCGTGCGTGCATGCGTGCGTGTGGAATAAAGATATGAAAATTTTGATCACCCTTTATACTCATTCGCCCTCCTTCTTCATCCTCAATCACAAGCTTTTCTCCCTGATCCCAATATATCTTCGGCGTCCGTGGATTCTCACGATTATCTCAGTGACGTCGATCGCGCACCCCCCATAACTCCACGATTTTAGTGTCGATGAGACTTAATCTTTGAGCATTTTAGGTGGCGCTGGTGCCGACGGCAAATCCTCCTTGTGGAAAAGCTTGAAAGCGATCTCCCTTCGGTATTTGATTATGGACTAGTTTAGGAACCCATTCGCTCAAAGAGTTAGCGTTAGGGGTGGATCGCACAAAGTCTGATCCGCATCCGCTATTCCTCACGCGTCTGAATCAATCTCGCTATTCCAAAATCGGCTTCAGGTGATTCAAAATCGGCTTCAGGTGATTCGCATAACACTATTGAATTCCATAAATCGGGCTTATTCATCATCAAATGTGCACGTACGTGCATCGGCGCCGTGTCATTGTAAAAATGGATATGTCAAAGGTGTATGAATCAAAGACTTCTTTTGTTAGAAAGAAAGAAGAAAAAAACGCGCAACGATTATCCACCCGCACGCATCGTGAATTTTTTGATCAAACGGAGGTGGTGACCTCTTTTTTTTTTTTTTTCCTACCCGGATTGTCGTGATGTTGCAACATGGTTGGTGATCCGGTGGAAGTGGAGAAAAATTAAACTTTCGGATCTTCTTCAGTTTCCATGTACTGATCAAAGGAGCACGATTGAAATGATATCGCCATTCTAAGTTTAAAGTTGCACGTGGATGTGGCTCTTTTTCCTTCACTTTTTGGCTTGGCTGAATTGTGTGATAACGTAATGTGTTTTTTACTACTGCAGGCGATTGAAACTTTATGATGAAACTGAAATGATGGGGAAGAAGGATTGCGTAAGAATCTTGATGGAAATGCCAGGAGACTGATACAAGGCGTAAAAAAGGACAGATTAAAATTCCCATCAACCTAACACGCAGGATCGAAGGATTAAAAATTAAATCACAGGCTAAATCCACAACTCATTACACGGAAGGGTGTACGTGACACGCATGATATTCTGGATTTTTATTCTGATGCAAAATAAAATTAAGACTCCGCATCTTGGTTTCTGATCTCACTCTTTATTATTATTGTTGTCATCATTATTATTTACTCATTACTTATTAACACCATTATTAATGTATGCCTTCCCGATGCCATTTACAATCAAAAAGGTGCGATCCCAATCTCATGTGAATTCGATCCCTACATGATAAGATAAAAGAAGTCTTTTGTTTTTTTTTTAAAAAAAAAAAGAAAAAAAGAATCAAGATGGTACCATCCCTTTATGCAAAATTAGACGATCAATGATATCACATAAATGGAAGACAATTCTTGAAAGAAAAGTGGGCAATCCTGTGCGAATTTGAAAATAAAGTCACTCATGTAATGGCAATAGTGCGAATTGTGTAAATCTCTTTCAAAAGCAATTTTGATATCAATCATAAGAATATCAGTGGGTGGTATACCTTGGACGGATTAACTCTTCATGAGATTATTGAATCTCTTGTCCCATAAAAGATTTGGCGTGCCGAGAATTCCCGGTTTCGAGCGGACAACATTCTGATTGCTGATCGTCCGCCGTCAGGTTGTTATGCTCCGAGGAAACTATAAGATGATAGGACAAGGAAGGGGCACATACTTTATTATTTCCCAAAATTGTCACCCTTCCTTCTTTTGGCCGCATACGCGCTGACACCGTTTATTCCTTTTATGGAAATTTGGATGTCTTCGAAAGAGTCTTTGGTGTTATGCTCGTCTTTGTATGGCGGCAATGAAGGGACGTGTACAGTATGCACTGTGCTCGTAAAGAATCAAACATTATTATTAGGAAGCTACATGGTGCACAGTGTGTCCAACATCATTATCATCCATAACAATAACTCTAATCACATCATTGCCGGTGATAGGCTGATACAGTTTCTAATCTTTATGGGATTGTGTATGCCTATGCGTATGAATGCTAATATGCATCGAACCTCCTTTTCATGCGCGCGCACACAAACAACATATGTGCACACGTACCACCTTCCATTGCAAAATATTCGACGGATCGACATGGTGTGTGTGATTTTAAGTATGATGATCAAGCGAATGTTGAAAGGCGCTAATTGACACATTTTGTTTCATCACTAGATTGTTAATTGGGATCTCTCTTTTGACGCCCGGAATCCCGATGAAACACGTTTGGTGAATGAACACGAAAATTCCCCAGTCGGTCAACTAACCTTTCGGTACATAGGTGCGATGGATTCAGAGATCTCTCGTATGATCTGATTTAACCCGACATTTGATTGATGAACGGGGAGGAGGCATACTAATAACATGAAGATCAGGAGAATGGTTGATGGTTTAATGTTAAACCACCATAATTGAGGTGACAAACCATCGATCAAGAAATTGTGTACGTACGTGTGCACAGTACATACTGTATGTTTCTGAAGTTGCACCTCATTCAACAACCATCATTTATTATGCACTGTACCACTCAAAACAAAGCTTAGTTCAAAAAACAACAAAGATGTAGATTTCTTTCGAAAACCCCTACTGTAATTGGTCATTCCGTCCTCATAAATCTTCTAGTAATCCACTCATTAGGTAAAAAAAAAATAGAAAAGAAAGAGAAGAAAGAAAAAGAAAAAAAATTTTTTATCCGTCATTAGGATATCCCGTACTAGATGACTGCATTGGGATTTTTCTTTTCTTTTTTCCTCCGTACCACCCGAGCACATAATTGGGATCATAATAAGGGAATCAAGTCTATTTATGTTTAAAAATAAGATTCTTTTCGGTGATGCAGATACCGACGCTATTGAGATTTTTTTTTTTTTTTTTTTTTTTTGTGTTGAATTCTTTTTTACTTTACTTTTTCGACGGCTCCTTTTTCTCTCATTATGCGCTAATCCATAAATCGAAGGTGATGTGAGCAAAAGAACGATGAATGAACCTTGGTAACGACGGTGTGACCACGCTACTATTATATACGGTATGAGCGTATCCAATCACTTGATGCATGCGTTTACAGTATATTGGGAATTCAAAAAAATAAAAAATATTACGGCAAAGGTGTGTCGAATAATGGCCGACGTGTAAAAAGCATTTATGTAACGTTATGTGTGTGTATATGCTACTATTTATAGTCATGTATGCCTGACTTTGACTTCACCTCCTTCACTGCTCATGCGGCGCCACGGCGCACGCCACACGCAACAATGACGTACGTGTGTGTGGGTGTGTGCGCGCGAGTAAGATTAACCGAAATGCATGAAAAATCACATGACTCGAATCGTGCATTATTTTTGGTGGGTGGGGAGGGGGGAGAAATGCGCCGTTGAAGTTTATAAAAAAAACAAGATCAGAAACATGATGTGCTTTTGGTTAACAAAGGGAAAGGGGGATAGGAATATTAGAGGGAAATGGCATGAGGAATATAAGGGATGAGTAAATGTGAACGATGAATTGTCGGTAGTAACCATTTCAAGGCACGAGCGTGCGGAAGAACCTATGAAAGTAACAAACAAAGGGCGCACACCCGCCACCCAAGCGCCCGTCCCATGAGGGATTTCAAATGTTTTTTTGGGTGCGAGGTTGAGAGAGAGTGTGTGTGTAAGTGTGTGTTGCATAAATGTGACGTACGAACTTTTTTCAATTTGGATGACAGCTTTGATTTCTATAAAAGGTTTTAATTAGAAATGCAGCAGCTCTCTGGTTGACGCGACGAAAGTAACGTCGTTGCGGCACATTCACAACTCCACGAACTTCTTGCACCATATTTGTCATACTGCCTGCACACCTGTACACTATAAATGGTCATGTCGATGACATGTAGTAATAATGCGATGATTAATAATTTATCGGAAAGGATGCTGTGCTTGCCATACACCTTAGTTAAAATGTTCCATAAGGAAACTGAGCTAAAAACGATCACAATACTAATGCGCTCATTAATTGACCAAATATTCTTGACCCACCGCCTAACTACGCACTTGGCACCAGCCTAATGCAAACTAATTCATAATAATTGCGATTATTGATGCTTGCGTGAGCGTATGCAAAATACTGTTATTGATAAACCATCATCCCGGATCACTGTACGTGAGGAGGGAATTAAAGAAGAAGCACACGCATTCATATTGGTGGCGGTGTTGATGATGATGATTGGGTGGAGGGGGATTATTGATAATCATCATTGTTACCGTTGGTTCCTGACATGTATGAGTGATTCGACGTACGCCTGTTACTTTATAAATAATACAAGGGTGATGGTTTTGTGTTGTTGTTGTTGTTGACCGATTGTGAAGATTGTAGCAGCGGTGTGCCATGTCTCTCTTGAATAAATAGTCCATCAACAATAACAATAACAAAAAAAAAGGAGGTCGGGTAGTTTTTTTTTCTTCGAAGATGCAAAGTATGCGCGTCACTCCGATGGCGGCTCTTGCACATGTACCTAATATTGGCACAAAATAAATGTACACCGAATGACATCCCCCACGGTGTCAGTTATACAACGGAAAAATGTCCAAGAAGTTACTCAAAAAGAAAACAATCTACATAATACACGTTTCGGAAAAAGTACCACATCTGGTTACTTAATTTGTCACATGACACAAGAAGCTAGCGTATGCGATAGCCTTATGTGTCGAGTTCAAAGGAATTTAGGGGTGAGAAAAACATGAGTCAGACGAACAATTACTTTAGCGCCGGAATTGTTCCGAAGTTTAGACCGCAGGTATTTATTATTGACCAAAAGGGTCGTTTGTGTGAAAAATTCGCAGGATTCACGACGGCGGGTTATACAGTATATGGCGCCAAATATGGCAATTAAGATGGCCCTACCTTTTACGATGAAACCATTAAATATTGTTACCCTTTTTTGAAAGGAATGGTTAATATTTTCGGGCAGAATAATAATAAATTATAAGACATGGAACTTTTAAAAATTTATTATATCCATATAATATATGTTTAAATTCATATTGCAAAAAATTAATATCAGATTAAATCTATTAGATTGACCTTATTAAAAAAATTTTGACAAGTCCAATGATTTTTTTCTTTCTTCTTTATACTGTATATATGCTGCACGTACAAATTGCGTAGTATGCAATATTCAAAAATTATATTTGAATCTTATTATATATAATATATTGTATATGTAGTATATAATATATATGTATCTATATGTCAAACTATTTAAATTCTTATTTTTAATCAATTTTGTACATTATTATATGAACATATGATAAATTGATTGTTATATTGATATGCATAAGTTAATAATTCACAACAATCTCTTGAAAAAAATTTTTTATTTTATTTTAATAAGTATTATTTAAAAAATCATTTTATAAAAATATCATTTATTCAGATATTTATTATTTTATAATAAATATTACATATATAATTTTAAAAATTTTTTGTTATTGCAATAAGAAACATAATTTCAGAAAATTTTGATAATTACAAAAAATCTTATTATATCAAAACTTCTTAAAGAAGTTATAAAAGTTAAACTATTTTAAAGTAAATATTAAATTAAATATTGAATTTTATTATTATTATGATTTTCTTATTATAATTTTTTTTAAAATTAAGTAAGTTATTATAATAATTTATTTTTGATAATTATTTAACTAACTTTTTTATAAATATATAATTAATTTAATAATATTGATCATTGTTTTTTTTATAATAATTAAATAGAATTCAATTTTTAAATAATTAATTTTCAAAAAAAAAAGCAAATAAATAAACAAACAATTAATTAAATTAAGATATATTACATAATAATTGATTTAAAAATTTTAAGTAATTTTTTTTCAATATATATATATAGTTGCTTTCAAAAGTTTAAGTTCACTTATTATGTTTTTATTATAAATTTCAACTTTGACAATTTTTAAATCCTTAATTATACAATCAAAAATTATAAAATCCATATATATTATATCTTAATACTAGTTTATTTATTATAATTTTTTTAAAAATTTTTGATATGTAATTTTTAAAGTTTTATTATTGTTCAAAAAAAATTTCTTTCTTTATAAATTTTTACTTTTGGAGAATTTTGATTGGCTGTTATTGTAAATCATATGATAATTAATAAAAAAAATAAAGATATTTAGCAATAATAAAACTTTAAAATGTATTAATAAAAAAATTTTTAAAAAAAATATGAGAAATAGAATAAGTATTAAGACATAATATATATAAATTTTATGATTTTTGACTATATAGATAAGGATTTAAAAATTGTCAAAGTTGAAATTTATAATAAAAACATAGTAAGTAAACTCAAACTTTTGGAAGCAACTGTACTTAGCTTCTACATGGAACTAATTGGAAAAGACCTAATGGATGAGATAGCAGACTTGAAGTATTATGGAAAGAGAATCAGTAAAGAAGCAAAGTGGATAATTAAGATGCAGAAGAAAACATATAACCACTTTAGAAAGAAATTTGAAATATCAAATAAGAAAAGGTGATAGAGTGGAAATGGATATTGGGAATCAACAGAAGTGACAAGATCAAAAGACTGATACATCTACAGAAACAAAAAAACAGAGCCAAGATATCAAAAAATCAGTTATATTAAGTACTATTAAAAGAAGAAGAATTAGAAAATATGATGCTCAAATAAGTTCTACAAGATGGGATAAAGTATGGGATAAAATGGTTGGGTTTTAATCTTTGTCAAAACTCAAAAGAATAATTTACAGTAGTGATCTGTAGGCAATAATTTTAGAAGTTGGAAGGGTATTTACCTGAACTCCTAACAGAGTGATAAATTACTTCTGAAATTATACTTAAAAAGATAAAATAATTCTAATGAGTACGTTTGTTAAAGAATTAGCTTTAGTGTCTTATGTTATATGTATAACTTACAAATGTTTAATAAAGCATATATAACTAGCCTAATAGAGGGCAAAAAAAAAAAATAAAATAAAATAAAGAAAAAAAATTTTTTTAAAAAAAACTCTTTCTACTAATTTTCTAGCCATACACAAAAAAGATATTTGCAAAAAATTTTATTTTTTTATTAATAATGTCTTAATACTATTCCTAAATTAACTTGAAATTTTACTTTAAGAGATATTCCTAAATCCTTTTTCTTGTTTATATTTATCTTTAAATAAAAACTTGACTTTCTATGACCTAAAAAAGTTAAGAAACATCTTTTCTACCTATAACTAATGATGGGTCTTTAAAATATCTAGCATATAAAATTTCACAAATCACTTATATTCCTTTTTGAAAGACAAAATTTATAGTTCTTCACTTTAATAGGGACAAAAGTCATAAAATGTTATAAATCAATAATTTGAAT